ACTCAAACGGAGCCGCCTCCAAAGTGACAGTTCATCTTCAACGGAGGTTACGGTAAAGGGTCACCACAAGAAGCCTAAAATAGGATCTGATAGAGCAAGGGCAACCACATCTGCAGCGCAAGCGGTAGAAGGTGACTTGTCCTGTAAAGAGGCACTTACACTCATTAAAATGACGGTAGTGCCTAAAAAATTTCCCAAGGAAAAACTGACTGAGGAGCAAGCGAATCAGACTCAGAAAAACTGATGAGGGACATTTTGAAGAGTGGGGAGGGATCAGGACCACAGTTCAAGAAGAAATATTTCCATAACGGAGCTCTCTTCTTGATATGTGCCAATGAGACCGCTAAAACCTGGCTCTCCGAAATAATCCCCCAGCTCCAACCATGGCAGGAAGCACAACTTATGGTGCTACCCTCTAGCGAGATCGTCCAAATCAACAAAGTTGTGGCCTGGATATCTAAACCCATGCAGAACATGGAAACAATAAAGGTACTTGCGTTTCTCAAAACCAAAACCAAGGGCTCCAAACGGAACAGTGGCAAGTCATTCACGGGCAAGTGGAAGACAACGGTCGAACCATTGTACTGTTGATTGACAACGACTCTCTGAAGGCTTTAGAAAACCTGCAGTTAAAACCCTATCTGGGCCTAACTCAGGCAATCTTCAGAATAAAAAGGGAGAGAAAAGAAGAACCTTCAGATGCTCAGAATAGTGCAAGCTAATCTGAGACACTGCAAGGCTGCTTCCGAAACCCTTACACGTACCATTATCAGAGACGACATAGACGTAGCCGTAATACAAGAACCCTGGATCTACAAAGAGCATGTGATGGGGCTCGGACAAACCAAAGGTAAGTTAATATACAATAGTAGAAACACTAGGGCTTGTACATACATACGAAATGGTCTAGACATCCTCAACTTACAAAATTTCTGTTTTAGAGATCGTAGCAGTCAGGATGGAAATAAACATAGCAGGCAATAAGAGGCCACTCATTTTAATCTCTGCATACTTTCGCTATGACTCGCCCAGCCACATTTGCAACGTATCGTTTGTAAAATTTGCTTCATTGACTAGAGAAGTGACAGGAATCTTTACCAGTATGGACGTTCTGAACAGCTTTCCGACTTTGTTTTTTTTTCTGAAATCTGGCTTTATTGAACAGAATTTTAGTGACGGTAAATAATATGACAACTTAATAAAAACGAATAAATAAACCATACAGGATGTGCAAAACTAATATGAGAAACTCGAACACAGTTTTTCATTGTTTCAGTTACTGAGGATACCGAAAATAAATGTCTTCTCGCAGATGGGACTAAGATGATATTTTCCATATGACATGATAACCACTTTTCATTAACCTTAGCTTCAAAAGGATTAGTTCCTTTGCCAAGGGCATTTATAGTGGAATTATCACCTGTATGTATTTTTAGAGGAGTACTGAATTTTCAAAAGTAGAGATCCATTCAGCGTGATGTATTATGTGGTCCGTAGCATCATAGTCAACAATCCGAAAGTTACTGACGTATTCAGCATTTTCAATTTCGAAAACAAAAGCTTCATCTTTTTTAATTGCAGAGGAAGAGTTTTTCTTCTCTGAACAATCTTTTCGAAAGTTGTTTCTTTTACTACAATAATAGCATTTGAATGACTTTCTGTATATTAACATATTTTATTTACTTGGTTAATAGTACTTGATTTTGTAGGTTTTAGTAGCTTTAGGGTTTTTTGCGCCAGGAAGTTGTAACATGGACACTGGTAGAAGTTTATTTGTATCAGTTTCCTGGTGCTCAGTGTACCGATGGCCTGACGAAACCAGCAGTGCATTAAATAAACCAGATTATTTTTAACAAATTTAACATTTCCCAATAAATTTTGAAGAGCTAAATGCAGTCTGATAATGAAAACTGTCATACCATGATACAAAATATAGCATCATGTTGTCATTCAGCGTGTCTTTTTAAAATAATTTTAACGCTGCCAAATTGAGAATGTAGAACATTCGCAAGTAATTGCAAAGGTGATTCAAGAATCTCATTTAAGGAAAGTATGCGTTAAGGAACTCTTCCTAAGGTTGAGTATACGAGTACTTGCGAAGCATGTCAAGAATAGCGCTGCAGAATCTCTTAGTAGCGTTATACGTTGACGAACCATAATCCCTCAATCTCAACATGACGTCAGAGCTCATCAGTTCACACAGGACGTAATCTTATCTCTGCGGTAACTGAAGTAAACTCTTAGCAAATCTTATTAGCTGTTCTTCTAGATGTTTGAGTCTTAGTAACAAAAGATTGGTTATTTGATTTATTGGCAATGAGTGCAACAAGTACTTTTTGTTTTCCAACTCTTTACTTTTGGCGCGATTCTTCTTCAGTTAAAACTACAATTAAATTATCAAGCCTCTGTTGATCTTCCGGTTTTGCCCATTAAGCCTTCTGAAGACTTTCGTACTGATCTGGTAAAGTATCAAGCAGTTTGACTATTAAGGATGCTTCATCAAGTTCTACATTTAATTGTTGCATTCGTAAAACTTGCTCTTCAAACTTTAAGATGTGGGTAACTGTATCGTCATCTGAGATCATATTAAAGCCAAAAAATTCTGCTTGAACAATATGCGCAGCTTGTTTTGTTTTCTGTTCAAATACCATGCAGTTTCAGCCACATAACTCTAGCTGTATCACAAGCTACGAAGAGCGACTTGACCTTAGCTATCACCGATTTGATAATTACTGGACTTGCTGCACTCTTATCCCATAATTTCAACTCGTTATATTACTTTGTCTGTTTCAAAGACGCTGCTTCTTGTATTAGTATCGGTTTGTTGAATTCTCCATCAATGGCGCGTAACAGGTTTTTTATTGCGAATTTCCAGATGGCCCAGTTATCTGCACCTTGTAGTTTCTCAATTACTTGGTACCTGCATATTTCTTTCACACTACTAGCAGATTCCAAATCGTTGATTTTTCTGGTTAACAGTTGGATGAACTTGTAGTCAAATTATAAGGAATCACACTCTGCTATCAATCATATTGATGAATGCAGATATCAATATGAAATAACTTTATTAGAATTCGTATAAAAATATAAGTGATAAAATATCAAGACAGTATGACAACTACTACAGTTAACAAAAGACAGTAACACACGACTAGCAACGTCAAGTATGTAGTGAAAGTATTAAGACAAAATTGATTGTTTTATCTCAATAACAAATGAAAGTATTAAGATAAAGTATACTGTTTTATCTCAATAACAAATAGGGGCACAATTAATCCCAATAATAAATGGGGTTACATAAATTAAATTGTGGTACAGGGTCCAAAATTGTGTAGTGGTCAAACTGACCGTTATGTCAAAAAACGCTATTCAGAACATTGCAATAGTTATAATAAAAACAAAAGTAAATCTACTTTTTCAAATCATATTTGGGCTGAAAATCATTCTTTTGTCATAAAGAATTTTTAATTTTTGTTTTTTTTTTTAAATAAAAGTGTTTATGGAATTTAACCAAGTTTAATTTATCTCATTTGTTTTACAAATGGAACATCTTGTTTAAGTATTTTCTGTGACACAGACTGATCTTTTTAATTTAATAAAAAATTGTTAAATATATACAGGGTGTCTCACGCTCAACGGGACGGAGCTTTATGGGAAAACGACCAAAGATATAATAAAAATTAGTTTGGGAGGAATACGTAGGTTACAGACGGCTACAATTTAAAATTTGTTAGATGTATACAGGATGTCCCACATAAGAAAAAAAAATTAGTTCATTAAAAATTATTCAAACAAGAGTAAACAATTAATTTCTGGGAGACTTTTTCCTTAAAAATTCAAATAAATCGAAAACTAATAATAATAGTAATAGAGAACCTTTAGTTAACTGACATTATTTTTGATGTAGTTTTTAATTCTAAAATAAAAAACAGGGTGTTCCATTAAAAATAATATAACTTTGTACATTTTCTCTTATGTGGGACATCCTGTATACATCTAACAAATTTTAAATTGTAGCCGTCTGTAACCTACGTATTCCTCCCAAACGAATTTTTTATATCTTTGGTCGTTTTCCCATAAAGCTCCGTCCCGTTGAGCGTGAGCCACCCTGTATATATTTTTTTTTAATATAAAAACACATTTTGTCTGAATACGTTAAATTATTTAAAACCTTAATTCTATTTGAAATCGAAACACACAGCAATAAAAACCAAAGCTGCATTCACAAAGCTACTTGGATTAAAAATTTAACCTTTGATTCGACTAAAATGAATAAATATTTTAAAAGTACATTTCAAGACACTCGTACAAACTCCAGGCAAAGTTTTATCAATCAACTGGAATTCGCGAGATAATCCTGTGCTATAAGTCACATCGTTACATGCTTGATGATTAATAATTCTCCTTTATCAAAGCATTAGTTAATTAGGTAGGTAGTGTTATTAATTAATGGGTCACTAGGGATGAAAGCAAGAATAAATTTCAGCTGAAGGTGTAGAATACAGAGGGCCCGGAAACAGGGCACTGTCGAAAATTATTTCTAAGAAGTTAAAGAATATGAAATAAATTAAATATTTTTCATTTTGGAAAATGTTTAGGTTATGATTTTACATTTTCTAAATATCTAATATAATTATGATTTACCGTACATTGAATTTGAATCCCACAATTACCTTAATAGACCAGGGTCGATTATTTTTAAATACAAGAAAGATAATAGAACAAAAATGAGTTTTTAAGGGTAAAAAACGGCAAAATTACATGTCCTATGGAAAAAAGTTAAATGGGAAAGTTGTAGGTTATAAAAAAAGTATACAACTATTGTATTTACCCTTTTTTCGCATAACCTCAAAATTTATGTAAAAAAATCAGGATTCCGGATCAGTTCCGGATCAGTTTCGGATCAGTTCGAGATCAGTTCTGGTTAGGTTAGATTGGCAACTGATTAATTTAACTAATTAAAAGACATCTAAGCACTATTTTAGATTCAAATTGTTATCTTAATTTATTAAAAATATAATAATTACTAAAAAATAATAATAATATAAATAGCTAAAGTATAAAACACAAAAATACTCACTGTTTTTCTTGTACAAAAGTATTTCGAACTGATCGTAGAGTTGGTGTTCCAAAACGTGATCCACTCTGCTGATTGTCTCCTTGTCGGTCAGTTCTCCAAACATAAAGGCACATCTGCAAGACTTCTGCATCACTTCAGCCCTATTGTAGCCGGATATTTTGCAGAAAGACTCGTTGCAATATACTATTGGATAGTCCACTATTTGTGCGTTGGCCAATAAAAAACTACTGTCCGCTGTAACAAAGAGAAATGCAGTTTAAATTAGGTAAATACAATGATATTTATGTAATAAAGCCGGTTTAAGATTCAAGACTGCACCTCTAGGGTCTAGGGTTGCCAACCGTCCTGCATTTCGGTGGACGTCCACCATTTGTGGTGCATTGTCCAGTGTCCTGCAACAACCTATTGCAGGACGCTTATTGTACTTAATTTCTCCACTTTCTTACATTTAGAAGATTATGTCTTTGTTGAAAAGAATAGAAGCAGAAATATCCATGGCTACTTGAGGAAACTACCGTTAGTGACGGTTTGTCAAAAACATATTATGAGATTTGTCATAAGTCTTTTCAAGTAGCGTATGGGAGAAAGAGCGATGTACTTACGAAAACACGAAATGGGACAAGAACATAAAAAAGTGCATTGGTTGTTAAACAAAATCAAACAATGTCAATTTTTTTAAAATCAGACGTGATAGATACTGCAAAGGAAAAAGTAATTACTGCGCAACTTTGTAGTGTGTTTCATACTGTAAAACATTCCCATTCCTACAACTCGTTAAATTGTTCATCTCAGCTGGCGCCAATAGTTTTTGATGATTCAAAAATTGCAAAAGAATTAAATTTGGGACGTACTAAAGCTAGTTCTATAGCCTATAACGTACTGGGCCCTTTCATCTTTGGAACGTTTATTAAACGAATTGAAAATGGGTATTTACTTTGGTCTGTTGGGCTAGACTTAAAACAAATTTCAAGTTTCTCTGCAGATAATGCGTCAGTGAATTTTGGCAGATTTCACTCCATATATCAGTTATTGCTCAAAGAAAATTCAAAAATATTGCCGAGTGGATGTCTCGCTCATATAATAAATAATAGCGTAAAACATGGATTAGATAAATGCAATTTTGACATTGAAAACTTAGTGCTTAAGTATATGCCCATTTTTCTTCGCAAACCAAAAGAGTGGGAGAATTAAAAATTTTTGTCACGTACCAACAAGATGGTTGTCACTTTTTTCTGCTGTAGACAGATTACTACAAGTGTTTCCTGCGATAAAAAGCTATTTTATGCCTCTTGGTGAAGATTGTCCTATGAAACTTGTTATTTTTCTGAAGATTCAGAGAATTATCAAAATAGAATGTTACTTTTTCACTTTTTCACTTGTTCACAACATATTCAAAATCAATTTTGATATTGAACACCAGTTGGAAAATAGGAATTTAATTTGTTTTGAAGTTTTTAATAAGTTAACTAATTTAAGAAATAAATTGGTTCAGAGAATTGAAGACGAATTTCTAGGCTTTGGTTGTGCTAATTTGCTTAAATCTTTTCCACGTAATATTCAAAATTACATGAAGATAACGTGCATTGATTTTTATAGAAATGTTCTTTCATATGTAGAACAAAAATTGTATTTAACTGAAAACAACTTTCTTTCAAAATTAACAATATTTTCATTGAATGAACCCTTAAAATATAATGACGTGTGTGAAGTTGTCACTGATTTTGGTCTTCTTAACATAAACATGGATCAACTTTATAAAGAATTCTGTCAAATTAGGCCGGCTGTAAACCTGGTTTACTATACGAGGCAAGAGAGAAGTCCAACACGCCCAACATAGGGCGCGGCCATTTTGAACCCTGTGACACAGTTTACAGCTAAAGAATCAGATCGCTCACTCTGCGTCGGCACTTTGGATCTCAATGTTTCAGTTTATACACTGTGCAACTCGGATAATACAATATATGACAACCGCCTATAATAAAACAGCAGGCTTCTGCGTATCCTGAATTTGTATCCCTGGAGTGGATGTTATTTAGGAACTTTCAACTGGTCCGAGTGAGCTAACTGATTCTTTAGCAATAAACTGTGATTCCAAAAATAATAATCACTGACACTGACAGCAGCAAGCAAAATATCAGGTGTGTTTTAATCATCCGCTCACATACTTTGATTACTATACGAGGCAAGAGAGAGGTCCGACACGCCCAACATAGGGCGCGGCCATTTTGAACCCTGTGACACAGTTTACAGCTAAAGAATCAGATCGCTCACTCTGCGTCGGCACTTTGGATCTCAATGTTTCAGTTTATACACTGTGCAACTCGGATAATACAATATATGATAACCGCCTATAATAAAACAGCAGTCTTCTGCGTATCCTGAATTTGTATCCCTGGGGTGGATGTTATTTTGGAACTTGCAACTGGTCCGAGTGAGCTAACTGATTCTTTAGCAATAAACTGTGACTTCAAAAATAATATTCACTGACACTGATAGCAGCAAGCAAAATATCAGGTGCGTTTTAATCATCCGCTTCTACTTCCGGAATTGTCGGTTTAGTCGTTTTAACCTGTCAGATTAAAACAAGAAAACCGACAATTCTGAAGCAGAAGCGGATGATTAAAACGCACCTAATAAAAATGTTGCGCCAAGATGTAGGCAACACGTAATAAGGGTTCAAAATGGCGGAGTTTTCTATCTCCTTTTAAAAGGCACTCAGAAAGCTGCGCAGTGCGACCATTCTCCGTATAGTAGAAGAAAATCAAAGTATGTGCTGGTTTATAATGAAAATCATACACTTGAAAAATGAAATTTAATATTTTTGAAAAATATGTGTTTAGCTTCGTGGACTGACGCACGTAATCGATTGTCCATTAAACACATTAAGGCCGAACTTAATAAAGATTAATTATTCTTGTACTTGCAAAGAATTTTATAATTATGTAAAAGGTAACAAGAAATTAATAGTAGCTGCAAAAGTGAAAAAAATATTATTTTAAATGCAATGACACTGTTACGTAGCTGTAACTTTTCATTTTCTTTTTATGCTTTTTTTTTAAATAAAATGTTTAGAATCCTGTTTTTATCCCTCCGTTTTTTTTTGTAGAATTGTTTATTTAAGTTTGTTATGTTTTGTTATGTTTTTTGCAATTATAAGAATGTCCAGAATTTATACCGTAAGTCCTGATTTTTTATTACCCTCGTCCAGAAAAATTAAAAAACAAAGTTGGCAACCCTACTAGGGTCGCATATTTACACTCCTATACGACGGCACCAAAGTGCTAAAATTTGTTAGCCTTTGTGGCTACAATTACGCTACAAAAGCTCATTGATTTAGGCACCAATGCATGAGGACTCTCTTATTGTTGGAATCAGTAAGCAAGCTTATCTGCATTCTATAAAACAATGGCTGTACTTAAACTGCGCCGTTAAACGGTCGTGTACTAAAATGCCGTTAATAGACATTATGCCATTCAAATGACGCATTTGAAGTGTTTTGAGATTTAAAAAATTAAAATATACAAGAAAACGAAGCAATGCCTTCTCGTAGGGTGGTGGCTTCTGCGTCACCAGAAAATATCAACCCATACCTGGTTATGCCAACCAGCATAGGCTTCCTGGACACAGCTCAAATTAAAAAGTAAAGTCTCACATAACATAAAATTTGAAATTTGTTGACAAGGGGGGTAGCCATGTGTGAGTTGAGGTAATTTTAAGGTGAAGGGTGAGAAAAAGTCCTTTATATCTCACATTTTATATATATTTTTATGTTATTTATTTTAAAATAATGTGTTTGTATGAAATGTAACTGGGTGTTTACTGCTTAAATAAACCAAAGGAGAAACCGTTCCTGTTAAAAAGTATAATATTGTTAAAATAAAATATTATTTATTTTTTTTTTAATAATGAACTGTCATACGTTTCTGTTACTTAAAAGTTTTTTAAACAGTACCGTGATTGGCCGAGTGACTGACAGACAACGCACATTCCAATCCAGTGATCTAAGGAAATATAGGACCCTAGAGCATATTTACACATCCTCCTATATGACGACACCTGGGTGCTGAAATCTGTTAGCCTTTGTGGCCTACAATTGCGCAACAAAGGCTCATTGATTTAGACACCAATACAAATTTCAAATTTTAAGGTGAAGGGTGAGAAAAAGTCCTTTATATCTCACAAGGAAAGTCAATGTTTAATTGTTTAACAAAACATTGAGTGCGACCGGTTTCGAAGTGTCATCACTTCATCTTCAGGCTCGCCTAGTGGAAAGGAGAATATGTGGTGTAAGGTGTGTTAACTTGGAAACAAAACGATATATAAAATAATAAAAAAGAGAAAACTCACCATACTCTCCATCCACTAGGGAATACTACAAAAACAAGTTTCATCAATTTTGGGTTGAAATAAATTGTAAAATGAACCGATTTACACGTAATAAAAAGTTAAAAATATTTGAAAAAACAAATATTAGTCAATTATAGTAAAAATTTAAAATACTCAAGACTATACAAAAACAAATCACATACATTAAACAGATTAAATGATAAGGCCTATTTTAAGTTCAAGTTAAGTTCAAGTTAAGGCCTCTACAGGTGGTGGTAAGTATTATACCGAAAAAATTCTTGGGTAAACTTATGACAGATTATAGTTAATAAGATGTAAACTATGAGTGAAGAATTATTTATTATCTATTATATAAGATTTGGGCCATGAACCAATCACCAAGTGTATGTGATGTTGTAGGAAGAAGAAAGAAAAAGAAATGACTGGGTTAACTGTTGTGAAGCAACTGAAGAATAAAAGAAGAAAATGACGCATGTGCATATCAGACAATCTAACCTAATCTTTACACGTGCTCGTTGGTTTCTTATGGGAAAAAAATATAAAAAAAAAAAATATAAAAATTACTTACTGAAATGTACCCCTTGCAAGAAGATATGTGAATAGAAATAAAGGGGGGGAGGTTAAAAAGGAAGTTAGAACGATAAATTTAGATTAGTGTTGAGAAAACAGGAGGAGTTTCTGACAATATCTGGGCATTTAAGCAACCAACAGGATTTAATTTTAAATGTCTCAATATCTCGAGGTTTTCGAAGCTATTAAGAGTAAATCTATTGTAGGAACTATGAAGGATTTCGAAACCTTCAGTTGAATCGAAGTCGTGATTTGAGTCCAGTAGGTGGTTGGCAAAATGTGAAAAACCTGTTGTATTTTGGTTAAGACAACGTAAA